TATATATATATAAGAAATGGAGGTCAATCTGCTTGCAGTTGGATGTTACACCTCAATATCCAATAGCTTAATTGGGAAAACCAGTGATTAGGGCTGCCCTCAAAAAGCTTGCCATTCGCAGACATCTCGCATTTGACTCACTAAATAGCTTGGGTTTAATTCATTCATTACGTAAGTAAGACGAACACATAGTTTTTCCTAACTCAATTTATAAATGAGTTGAACAAGACTTTTTTTTTTTTCAGATCATGTTCTGGCTGTTTTGGTTCAAATTAATTAAATAATTAAATAAATAGCACTGTTATAATATTTTAATTAAATTTATATTTTATTTTTAAAATTGTCCGAGCTACATTTGAGCTTAAAATGAGATGAAAAATAATAAATTAATTCAAATCAAGACAAACACAAACATGCTATTCACGAGCCATTTAAAAAATGAGTCTATTTTGAACCCAAAAAAAATTCAAGCAAATTGAACACGAACAAAAAACTGGGCTCGCTCAAATTCAGTTCGTTCACAACCCTACCTATGGTCTCATAATCCACCCTACTCAAAACCATGTAAAACAATATTGTACCTTCTAAGCTGTGTGAATAGTGATTAGATGAGAGAATTTTCCGTGTATTAAAAATAGGAGGAAAATGGTTCAAGGGAACGGAAGAAGAGGATACATGCGGGATTTGGAAATCTCATTTAACAAATTATATGGTTTTAACTCGGACATACAACTGAACTATCACATACAAGCGAATTATCTCTAGTATTTACATTCTATAGAAACTTGCAATACAAGCATCCACATTATCGCGTAAAAACAAAGAAATCATTGATAGCTTAAAAATGGATACAAGTATGCTCAAAACTAGAGGTGTAAAGCGAGTCCGGGCTCAACACGTGTTCGGCCCGTTAAAAAATATCATTGTTCGTTTTCGGCTCGTTTATATATCGAGCTCAAAAAAATTATTTGTGTTCAGCTTGTTTGTGAAGCGAGTCAAACACGAGTCAACAGCGGGCTGTTCGTGAACAACGAGCCGTTTTGACAGCCCTAGTCACATAGTTGTAGGATGTTAGATTTAAATCTTATTATTCATATTAAAATATTCATTTAAATAGATTTTAACATATTTTTATTCTATTTTTTAATTAATTATTTTAGTTGATTATAAACCTTTGTAGCCTTGTAGTTAGTTAAATTATTTAAAAATAGTAGTCGATTATATATATATATATTAAAAAGAATGGTCGAAGGCTATTATACGAGCCTCGACCATCCCCGTGTGCCTAGAATTCGAGTACCTCACCCTTCGCCGGGGGGAATCGAACCCCAAACCAAAGGGGACTTACAAGTAACAAGCAAATGTCCGACCAAATATATTAATTTCGAGCCAAAACGAGTTGAATACGAACGAACAAAACTTTCGTGTTCGTCTCGTTTATATCAAGCACAAAAAAATTATTTATGTTCGGTTCGTTCGCTTAGCAAATAAATCGAACACAAGCTACTTAACAAGTCAAACACAAACAGTTCGCAAACAATAAATTGTTTGACCACCCTACTCAAAAAATCAACCCCACGCAATCAACTTTAAGCTTGCTTACCCGCTTTACATCATTCTTATTGCCACTACCACTGTAAATCTTAGATGTTCAAAAAAGCTCCTCCCCTCCAACTCATTAAGCAGTCCAAACTATGGAATAATACAAGCCAATCGAGATTAGTATTTCATATTATCTTTCTAAAAGGGTTTCTGAAGCTGATGGATAAGCTGATCTGAATATTAAGGTCTCCCTATCTGATAGATTTAAAATAATCCACTATTCGAACAATGGAGTTTAATCAAATCCAAGATATTGGTTCTCTCCAAACATGCAATTATATTGTTCCAAAAGCCGACAACAATATTCACTGTTTGCAATTTGTATAGAAGCTCAATGCTAAAAACAAATCCAACTGCAACATTATCAAGAAAATAAATACCCCTGATTTTATAACAACAGCCCATTCATGCTAACAGAGAATGGGACTCAGCTAAAGGTTTAAGAAAATCCTGAAATATCATTTTTTTCCAATCCAATGGATTATATTTATAGCCCACTCCAGAATGTCTTTTTTTTTCCAGATTCAATATCATTTTTCCAATCCAATGAATTAAGCCATACTCCAAAATGAAAACCAATCACTGTTGATGTACTCATTTGAAAATAACTAAAAACTAAAACTAAAAAAAATAACAAAATCTAGATATACATCAATCACTTAAAAAAACATAACAAATAGTTAAAAAGCCTTGATGATGGCAAATTTTTAAAATAAATTAAATGTTTTATTCGAAATAAATATTAAATAAAACGAAAAGTTCACTTTATTCAACAGTTTTTGGCTTGTCAAACTTATGGGCCAATTCATGAATAACAAAGTTCAAAAGTACTAAATTGGCAAATAGGACATTAATTACTATCATCATCATAATCACTAACCATTCCAAAGGATCTGGGCCAATCTTGTGAATCTTCATTCTTGATTCATTTTGTTGCGTATTACGTGAGATGTTAAATCTATATATTATACAACCTTTTATTCTCAGCTTCTATTCCCTTCTAATATTTAAAACTAGTTTAAAGAGCTTTTTGAATACCGTAGATGAAGATCAAAGCCCTGTTGATTTTGTTAAAAGATGCAACCCTTTGATACCTATAATAAGAAACGAAATTTTTCTACACTCAAGCTATTGAATGGAGGTATTTGGGGGATGGACTGTTCACGGATCAAGGGCTAATTGCAAGCTAGCGGCAGCCAAGCACAGTGACTCGGTTGTATTAACAATGGGGATTGGCAACCTGGCGTTGGAATCAGCAGATTGATGACTTAAGGCCACGGGTAGCACTAATTTAGTACTTCTCAATGCAATTCTAATACGGTGCTTACTCATTTGCGTGTGAATTGATTCTTCTGTATTTCACTTCGATTCCTTTTGTCTATCGGATAAGAGCTAAATGCTGCCTAAGCTACTGCTGATGGTTACAAGAAGGGCCTAACAGGTCTAGCAAAGAAGAGAAGATAGGTTCTCCCTCCACCATACCAAACCATAGCATATATTTAGAAGTCCACATAAAACACTCACCTCTTAAAATTATTTCTTAGAAATTAAATAGGAAGATCTTCCAATGGTATTGCTCGATCCAAATGCTGATCCCAGAAAGAGAAAAATATGCTACGGAAATGGTAACATGAGTCAATCTAGAATGGTCAACCCTTCCTTTCTATCATGAGATGCAAATAATGGCTTCCTGAATTTATGGCTAATCAATTCTATGGAAGAACATATTAGAAACTTATACTTGGCCTACAAGAGCACAAAAGAAATTTGGTAGGAAGCCAAAATGGCATGCTAACCTTTAAAAATGTCAATCAACTGTGTAAATTACGGACCAAGCTCGTGATCCAACTTTGTAAATTGCGTGGTATTATGGCCAATAAAGAAGCGTGAATATTACTAACTACTTCACCAAACACAGAATTTTGCAAGAACTGAATATCATCAATATAAACAATTAGTGTGGGGAGTGTGCAATTAAATACATCAAACTTGTGAGAGATTAAAAACTTATGATTCCCTTGCAATTCTCAATAAAAATTTTATGCATTCAATGGTAGAAACCTTGGTTTCATTTGTTCCTACAATTGAAGCATTTGTTGAAGTTTGAAGAAAAGGGAAATAGATGAAAAATGATACTTGCGGGTATTAAAAGTACTCTCAAAACTAAATAATCTGGTCATATTACCAGAACCTTCAAAAAAACAAGGCATGACTCAATGTATGGAAAGAAAGTAACTCTAGCATGATGTCTGTAAAAACACCAATCACACAAACAAAAAAATAAATAAAATAGAACTTCACAACAAGCTAGAAAATTAGATCTATCCAAAATTCCAAACAAAGACACTAAAAGCAAAAACTTAAAGAGGATAACAAGAGAAAAAATTGCCAACTTGCCATTTTTTTCTCTTGCTCTAGCTTTACTAAGGAGGCCCAAAATCCAAATTTCAAAAAATTTGGATCACAATGTAGGTCGTGCACATGTATTCTAATCTTATATTCCCTAACCTGGAAATATTAAAGTCAAAATTGTCGATGGATCATTATCATTGAATATAAGGACATGGGCCATTAGAATTACCTCTGAGTTTTGTCTGATTTCTGGTTCGTATGTTTGGAATCACCATTGCAATCTCTCAAGAACAAGCAAGATGGCAAAAAATAACAAATGTAAAACCACATTTTCATCAAAATTTTCTAGATTTGAGGACCAAAATTTAAGAAAGAAGATTGGCAATATTAGTCAAGTCAGATATACTACGTTAATGATTATACCAAAGAGAGTGACCATGCTTTTGCTATCAAAAAGTATCTTTCATCCCTTGAAAAAGGGACCAAATAATGTCATAACATTAAATGTTAAGCAATTTTTGTTTTCCATTCTTAAAAACTTATTTCCTTCCTAATTAGGTAATAAGTAAATTACCAAATGTAAAATCTATTAGTTTGTCAAATGACAAAAAAACTACTCTCAAAACTAAACCTAATAAAGCCACCAAATCTTTTTTTACCTTGTGCATGGTGATATCTACGGTCCATTCAAACTGCCAAAATGTAACTCTAAGCGTTGCTCATCACATTTATTGACAATTACTCTCATG